TGGAGAAGGGTTCTTTTCTCCCTGAAACCTCACTGGCATTTGTTATTCCTTGATTTTTCTTGAGGACAGCGATTCTTTCTGGAGTTAAGTGGAATCTCAGTGTTGTTTTGTTTAGTATTTCACTAATAGCCAGAGATGCTGAACATTTTTCATGTATTTATTAGCCCTTCTGGCAAGAATTTTAGTTTCCCACTTTTTGGACTGGGTCTTTTATGTGAGGAGGTCTAATTTTTTTGAATTTGTTATGTATTCCAAATATTAGTCCTCTGTCCCAGGATAGCTGGCAGATTTCCCCCTAGTCTATAGATTGTCTCTTGGGTCCTTACACTTGTGACAACACAGGCGCCGGAACCACTCAGCTAAATCCCCGGCCAGAAGTTTTTAAATTGATATGATCCTATGTGTTGATTCTTATTTTTTTTGTTTTTATTTCTTTTGGTACTGGGGATTGAACTTGGGTCCTTGTGCTTGCGAGGCAGGCGGGGGAACCACTGAACTAAATCCCTGGCCTCTGTGCATTGATTCTTGATGTTACTTCTTGTGCAACTGGGATTCTGTTCAGAAGCAGCATGCATATAGTTGTGTCTTCAAGAGGTTTACTTTTGAAGTCTTTTATTTATATTCCAGAACATTAAGTGGTTCTGTTTTAAAATTTGGATCTTTCATCCACATTGGTTTTATTTTAGTACATGGTCAGAGAGATGGATCTAGAGTCAATCTTCTGCGCATGGATAACCTGTCTCTCCAGCACCATGGGTTAAAGAGGTTTTCTTTCCTCTGGTCTTTGGCCCTTTTGTCAATGATCAGATAGCTGAATGTTCACAGTCTTCAAAAATGAGCTCTTCGGGACTTTTCTTAGGCAAGTCACCCAATTCCATGTCAAAGTTGAATGGTGCTTCAGCGGAGGGCGGACATGTGGGTCATAATCCCGCTCCACATAAGGATGGATCAGAACCTGTCAACCCCAACCTTCTTGTGAGAGTTAAATGTTGACATTTTGCCTAGTAATTCCACAGCTTTGGAGTCAGCATTTGGGAACAGCCTGTGCCACAGCAACTTGTTTTTATGTGTAAGAGAAAGCAAATAGTTTCCAGAATTTAAATTTATTATACAATTCAGGTCTTCCTGTGATGGGGATCCACGACGAACTAGAATGTGGTTCAGATGCCTGAGACAATACTTCCCTGGGAAGATGGGCCTGTTGGATGCAGCCACAGACCAAAAATTGATGGACTTGGGGTGCCCTTGGAATTCAACATAATTTCTGGAGCCCTTGCTAGCGAGAGGCTACGTACTCTGTCAGCAACCCTGTGTGATCATTATCTGGGTCTGCAGTGCAGCCAGGCTGAAGGCACAGATCTGGAGATGCCAGATAGTGTTGAGTGGCAGGTTGGAAGGCTTGAGGTCACGGTGCAGAATGTTAGCCACATGGATACATTTCAATCTTCTGAAGATCTGAAGACATAGCAGATGTGGCCATTGCTGTGTCTTCAAGAACTTGTATAATCTGTTTCTGTTAGGTCCCGTGTTACTTATGTCATTTCCTTTGCTCCATGGGTAGTGCATGAATAATACTGCTGATGCCAGTGACAGTCCCCTATCACAGCACAGTAAGGTTCTTCTCTCCCTCGGGTTCTCTTGCAGGAAGTCTTACGTTCAGCAGGACTGATTTCCTCGACAGCTCCTGGAGCTTCCTTGATATTGTCACAAGCAGAGCACGTCACACGGTAGGACCCTCCCGGATGCAGGGTGTAGCCCAGTCCCATGTGGAATACCTTCCCTGGGACCATCTCAAGCCTGCGCCTGCCACTGAAGCCCCCTCAGCCTCTGCAGCGGGGCCGCTCGTCCATCACCATCTAAGGACGAGCACCCTCAGGAGCCCGACTGACGAATGCACTCATGAGATGAGGAGCCTTAGCGTGATTTGTTGTCTAGAAACAGACAACTGTCAGTTGTAATGCATCCATTCCAGGCAGGACGCCAGCATCCAATACGATGATCACAGTTTACCTAGAAACACCTAGAGACACCACTTTCCTTTTCGCTTAAAGTTGGATCTCACATTAGCATACAGCTATACAAGTGTGGATGTGTGTGTGCATGGTTAGTGCTTGGACTCAGAGCCCCACAGCCCAGGAGGAAACTGACACCCACAGCATAATCATTAGGCCCACAAACTGTCAAAGACTGTTACGGCTGTTTCTAGATGTGCCCGAAAGCCTCATGCAGTCACAGGTGAGGCTTTTTCAGAGGGGGCTGGATCTAGAGTGAGTGACGCTGGGACTGATTCATGGTGTAGCGCTGTGTGAGTGCTACCTGCCCTGCCAGTCTAGGTAAGATAAAAGGGGCAGGGAGATCCTGTTAAGGTCCCTTGCTTGTTTTGCTACCTTCTGGCTGCCATGAACTGTTTCTCCTCTACGGTGCCTCTGTGCCACGGAGCCAGTCAAGTATGGATTGAAACTTCTACAAACTGAGCTATATAAACCTTTCCCCCTGTAACTTTGGGTGTTGGGTATTTTTGTCTCAGCAACAAGAAAAGTCACTAGGACACTATTGCTTATTAAACTGGGGGGCATGGGGTTCTCTTTTCCTGGGGACCCATTGCCTTGTTGGCTCTGAGATTTCTGGAAGGGGTTGGGTCTGTGCCCAGGAGTGGTCAGGAAGCAAGGTCTCCCTTCGGACACCTTCTGGTTGGAGCGCCCTGCTCTCTCTTAGTGCAATCTCTCCCCTCCTTGGGCTGGAAGAGAAATATTCCTGGGAAGGTTATTGGCCCACCTCTGGCATGAAAGGAAGGTGTTCAGGCCCTTTGCCTCCAAACGGTCAGAGGAGTCCCAGCTGTCAAAGCTGGCAAGTGGCTGCTCAGAACTTAGATGTCTGTAGACTTAAGAGTGTTTTGAGCATTTAGTGCCAAAATGTATATATTTTAGTAAATTTATATCGATGACATGTAATGAGAATATTATGGATACGGTGGGTCACTACACTCCCAAGTGTTTAACTTTTAAAATGTTAATTCTAGGAAATTTAAAATCACACGTATTCCACTCTTCTTGTTTGTACTAGACATTGCTGTCTGAGGGGAAGGATTCCCCTCTGAAAGCCCAAGCTGTACTCCCAGACCAGAGAGTGGAAAAGTTAACTATTAGGGGTTGAATGCACTGAGCTACTTCCCCAGATCTTTTTCATGTGTTATTTTTGTAGGACCCCAACCGCTGCGTAGGCCCTAGACAGTCTGCATGTAACAAAGTACGTTCCATTCTACTCTGCTCCCTCCCATCTACAGATAAGATTAGAAGGAAGTGTATGTAAACTTGGTACGAGCAAACAAAGGTAATGTCTTAGGACTTTGATCAAGACAGGGCATCCTGAGTCTGGGGTGACCAACGCAGGATGCCAGACGTGTCATAAACCAGACCCCCTAAGGGATAGCAGGAAACTGACCCCCTTGCCCTCTTACTGTGCTTACCATCCTCTCCACTGGTCTTCACAAAGGGACTCCATGCTAATAGGCCAGACTGTGCTTCTTCATATGCTAATTGTTACCTTGGTTAACAGCCCGCCCAGAGGTAAATGGTTTGACAAAAGGTGACAGTAGAACCTTTCCTGCATAAGATAAACAATGTGTTTGCAGTCTTGTTCTGTGAATTCCCTGACTCTTTGTTTAGAAAAACCTTATAAAAGGTACCTCAGCCCCTGAGCAGATGCCTCTCTGAGCGACCTGGCTCTGGGAGTGCCGTCTGGCCAGACTAATAAAGGTCTCTTTACCATCTAACCTGGTGTGTTCTTTCCTGGGTTTCTCGTTTCTCCGTCGAGCTCCCGGAGCCTCGCTGGGTGTTAGGGCCCAGCATCGTGGAGGCCTTTTTGGCTGTTCACGCTCCGTGGAGTGGAAGTGAGGCTTTAGGTCTTACAATTTTGAAACAGGGTTTCCTTCTGTCACCCAGGCTGGGCTTCAACTTGTGACCTTCTTGCCTCAGCGCTCCAGAGTGCTGGGATTGAAGGCATCTGCCACCACACCTGGCTTGTGAGATTTTAAAACAACTGTCATTACATTCTTTCCATTTGTAAACAACACACGCATATTTCTAAATCGATATGCCTTTATATACGAGGATAAATGCAAATGTGTTCTTGGTGGGCTCTGTCCCTCCACGTGGACAAGTCCTGTCTTAAAACAGCTGCAGCTAAAACCTGGCTTCAACCAGCAGCTTTCCAAAAAAACAAAACAAAAACCAAAACAACAACAAAAAAACCACAAAGCCAAAAAACCAAAACATCCAGGAAGTCTTCCTAGTCCTCGTTCAGCGGTGGGTTGGTGCCCTCTACTGTCACTCAGACCATGAGGCGGGAGCCCGGAGCCCCGTCCAATCAGGCGCGCAGCCGGAGTACAGAGGCGGGCCTTTGCGGTGCGCCCTTCCGCGTCCTGGCTGTGAGTGGCAGCTGCGTCTCCGGAGCGGCCGGGTCCCAGTGCCCTGAGGGAGCGGCGCCCCCCGGA